ACAATCRCATATATAAATGCAATCACATGTATAAATACACATTTATAAATACATAAATACATGTTAGCTTTCCATCACCTTAACAAAATATCAAACATGTATAAGATTAAAAGGAGGAAAAGTTTATTTTGGATCACAATTTCAGAGGTTTCAGTCCATGGTCATTTAGTTCTGTTTTTCCTGGGTCTTGATGAGGTGGACCACCAAGGTGTGACAGCCCAGTACAGGAAAAGTGCTCACCCCCTGGCAGCCAGGAAGGAAGTGAAAAGACCCCCGTTTCCCTGTCCAAGGAGAATCACACAAAACACTGGCTGCAAAAAGCAAGAGGGATTTATTGGGGGACACAGGCGCCTGCGGGTGCCCAGCAGAACCTCAGCCGGAGCTTTGGTGATCAGACTATGTCCTAGGACGCCTGGAGGGACAAAAGCGCAAGGTTTTTTTTTTTTTTCTTCAGTATTTTAGCTCCCAGTTTGCTAATGCCCTTTGAGTGGCAGACAGAGAAAGTTTCACCAGCATGCAACATAGGATCCAACTTTTGGGGTTTAATGCTCTGCAGCCACCATCCTGAAATTCTTAATCTTTGAGTTTGTTTTGTAAGTGAATGAACAGAGAGTATGTACAGGGCATGGCACATGCAGTTTTAACTACAGTTCCACTATAGGATTGTTCCAGTTTTTGCTACATTGCCTGCCCCTATCATACATTTACCCAATGCCACTGCTGCCTTCTGTGTCTGGTGGGACCAGGGCATAGATGTAGGGAGGGTTAAGATTGTACACATATCACTCCTGGGGCTGGTCATAGTAGTGGCCAACTCCCTCCTGGGCTGGCAGCACCAAAGTGTTTTGGGAGAGAGACCTACTGGAGCAAACTCTTTCCTACCCTATACTCAGGTAATTTGTTTACCCTGACTAGGAAGTTGCCATCTCTTGAAGCATTTGCTGTGGGTTGGTATTTGGCTAGTTGGTCAAGAAGACTGATTTTCCCATCCCTGGAAAGTACACAGCAGTATAGTGTCAGTGGTCAGCAGCAGGGCATTTCCATAGCGCACCGGGTCACTAGTTCAGGACCACTGCTGCAGTCTGGCTGGACACAAAATCACGAGCCACTCAAGCAGGAACAAACTTTATTTCCAAAACTCCCGCGAATGCCACGCACACCGGCCTTCTCCCGGGTCACACTACACCAATTGGAAATCTCTCCTCCGGAATTCCCTCCTACCGCACTTCTCCAACCAATGGGAACTCTCCGGGAGTCCCCGGGAGAGCTCCAAAGTAGCTGGCCTAGGCGGACAGCAGGGGTCTAATCTCCAATTGAATTCGCATCTTAACGTAATCATTATCATCTCAATGGCTTGCTGGCTTCACCTTTCAACCAAAAATGCCAAGCTTCATTCCTACTTGGCTATGGCTCTCAGCAGAGCACTATGCACCAAGTGGCACTGCAAGGCCCTGGGGGCCTGTAGATGTCTGCACTCACCTTTAGAACATGAGGAATAGAGTATGACATTTAATAGCAATAAAAAATACCACCACAAAAGAATAGGTTATATTTAGTATAAAAAATGCAAATAAGATCCATATTCTCCATATTATCACTTTGCACAGGATCCCACAAATTTTGTTGGCCCTGATGACCCTGATGCAGGTGAAAATTCTTTTGGAGGTCTACATGGGTTCATTAAAATTAACCTTGGAATCTCTAATTGATCTTGTGTGACCCCATTTCTCCTTTCCTGTCCAGGCCATGGCCTCCTAAAGCTTGGCTTTATTCACCTGCTATACCATTCTCTTTGGTCAGGTAATTTCTTAATGGTCCAAGCCCAACTATTTTCCACACTCAAGGATCTTCAATAATATCCATGTTAGAGCAGCCTGCTGCTTTCTTCATTTCTCCACTGAATGCAGTTTGTGAGGGTAATCTCTCAAGGGCTCAAGATGTGTGCTCAGCAGAGGAGTACTCACCTAGCATGCAAGTGCACAAGGCTTTCAATTTGAGCCCCAGCATTGAGGCGGGTAGGGAAACCAAAAGACAAAAACCCTGCTTCAAAGCCAGGCTGCCTGGATTAAGTTTGTTGTTCTACCCCCATGTCTGTGACTTTTGGTTGACTACTGAGTGTCTTGGTGTCTCCATTTCCTCAAATGCAGAAAAAAATATACTTACAAATCCTCTGCACAGGCTTTWGTGTGGATTAATCTTTGAATACAAGATGTTTTTAAAAGGCCTGGGAAATAATTTATTATATTTTAATATTAAATATTACTGTCTTCAGTTTTGAGGCTTCAACAGACATTTTCAAGCAAACATCTCAATTGGCATACTCTTCAACAAGTTATCTCATTCAAGTTTATGCATCAATTTTTCATGGATAATGTGATCATACAATTTTTTTCAGGGTTGTTTTTCTTCTATATTCAGAAGCCATAATTAAGGTATATTTTTCACTTCTTTAACACTTGAAATGAAATTATTGATAGATCTAACAGTTCATAAGTGTTATCAATTTGGAGATTGATTAGTTGGTCATTTTTGGTTCATTAAGGTAAAATTCTAAAGGAAAATAAGTCAACTAATCTATCATTATTGAAGGGTATGGAAAATGACAATCTCTAAAAAGGGAAATGACACCCCCCCACCCCAAAACTGACCTGGAGGAAGAGGGAGAAGGAAGACAATCATTAATCCTCTCCTAGGATTAATGGGCCCTAAGGGGGAAAAAAGGCAAACTTTCATTCCTTCCCAACAACAATGGGTCCTGAAGGGAGGAGGCCAATAYTGAAATTCTGGGCCCTGGACTTTTACCCTTTCACCTTGCCAATGAGGAAAAAAGCAAATAGTGAAGGTCTGGGAAACAATGAATTCCRGAGAAAGAGGATGAGCAGTGAACACTGAATTCTGAGCTTTTCCCAGTGATAATGAGTTTAGGGCTTTTTACAATTTCTTTCCCGACTGTYCAAACTAATACATCCTGCTTTAGTCTCTAATAATTAAGCCACCCACATTGTAAACTATAAAACTCAAACTCCTGTAACCGGGGACCATTTTTCTACCCAGAAAATGAGCCCCTCCARTACCTGATCATTGACTCCACTGCAGAATAAAGGAAAGCTTGTTGATCCATTTGAGGTCTGCTTCCATCCTGGTTATTGTGCTTCCATAATGGTGCTGAAATTGTGTTGGTTATTTTGCTTACAATCATGATGGTTGTTTCTCTCATCCATCTACACATTTTGCTAGTCTCCCAAGAAACATTTTTCAATAAGAGCTTGTTTACTCTTCAAGAAAGCAACCCCCAAATATATCTTATTCTTATAACAGTCATGAACACACATCTATTTCAGCATTGTTGGTTTTTTTTTTTTTTTTTTTGATGACATGTTAAGTTACAAAACATCTCTGTAAGGAATAGTCATTGGAAATCCTAATGCATACTTTCACTCACTAGTTCTGGGTTGTTGGAGAAAGAAGATCTGAAGTATCACTTAATAAAGAAATGTCATGCAACCTAACATTAATTGACTTTTCCATAGGCACAGGCTCTACAAGAAATTAAGACTGTAATCAAGAAAATGACAATATTAACTCAATTCACTTTTGTAAACACTGGGTATTCCAAACAGTGATAGTATGCTTTAATCAAATCAAATATAWTGAGTCCCAGATGTATCACAAGTATAATCTTGGAAGACCTTGACTAGATCATTTTTAAAAGTGGCTTTTCTGAAGTTACTAAARCCCCAAGATTATCTCATGGTTGACTACATTCATTTAAAGCTGCCTTGCTTGATGAGTTTTGTAAATGAAGTGAAGCAAACATGTGTCACAGACTCAATTGCACTTAATTCATTCTATAGAACCATGTTCAAGATGCTGAATGGGCTGTAACAAATGCCTCTCAAGTGAATTCATTTTACAGTTTAAGACTCTTGCTTASTCTCTCTCACCTGACACTAACGGCAGCTTTATAAGGACAAAATTAATCACTTTTACAGATGAAAAACAGAGGTCAGAAGAGAATACTGGTAAGCAGCATGAATGTTATGGTATGAATGTTTGCCCCCCAAAAATCTATTCACATGTTCAAACTGAATGAACAATGTAAGTAGGAGGGGCATTTTGGGAAAAGATTATGTCACGAGAGTGGAGCCCTCCTGATTTAGGTTAAAAGTCCCCAAAGAGCTGCCTTGCCCCTTCTATCACATGAGGATGCACCTAGGAGGCCTCATCTGTGAAACAGGMTTCAGATACACCGAATTCCAGAATTAGCCAGTGCCTTGAACCTTGGAATCCGCATCCCTCAGAACCGTGAGAAATAAGCTACTCAAACAAAATCAGCAACCCAAACAAAAATGATGGGGAAGGGGAGGGTGTTTAAGACCCAGTTATGCTATTCAACGGTTGTATAATTTTGARCAAGTTACATAATCTCATTATGCCTCAGTTTTCTTATTTTAGAAGTTAGGCTAGTAATGGTTTAAATATTAGAGTCCTATTTAAAGAAAAAAAAAAAAAACACTGCCTAGGTCTTTTATGGACCAAAGTGAATATAAATATACAACAGATGGCATTCACACCATTTAAAACAATGTGTGTGCTTCCCACAGTTTTACAATATAGTAGTACTATAAAGTTTTGAGACAAAAATACAAATAATTATTTTAAAAGTCCTTTGATGTTTATAGAATGAATGATTCCAGTAGGACTGATTTTTCTCCCAATATCCTGTGGAAATTGGTGCACAGATGCTCAGAGGCCAATAGGAGGATCACAGTACATCTGGTGCAAACTCAGCATTAGCATTAGCTAAGTTCATGCATTGGCTTCTCTCCCCTCAACTTTGTGATGTAGGTGTATCAATCATAAAAAAGGCTTTTTCACACACTGGTTCTCCCATTGCTGCTTTGCCGGCTTCCCCAGGAGCACCCTCCKCCAGCAGCCGGGCTCGCCCAGGAGGCGGGCGCCTGAGCAGGAGCGCACCGCCCCGGACGTGCCCACGCCGCCCCGCCCAGCCAGCTCGCGGCCGCGCGCAACAGGCCGTGCGGGGTGAGTGGGGCGATGACGGCGGGAGGGCGGGTTCCTCCAGGCGCGCGCTCCCCTGCTCCCGGTTGGGTCTGTGGGAYCTCGGCGCTGGGCCCGAGAGCTCAGTGGCGCCGGTGGCTGCGGGGGCCGGGGACGCGTCTGAACCGCTCTGGGCCCCCGGAGCTCCGGGCCCTGTGGACACGCCGGGACCAGCGGGGCCCGGAGCTCTGGGGTGCAGTCGCGAATGTCTGTAACACTTGGACAAGCTCACGTGCTCGGCCCGGGGTCCAGAGACCCGGGAMGAACGCGGAAAGTTTGCAGGCTTGGCAGGGAGGGTAGGAGCGAGGCCGCCACGTGGGTTGCCAGGGCCTGGGCGACAGGTCGGGCCTAGGAGACACGCTGAGGAAAGCTCCTGCATGCGGAGGCGGGAGCTGAGGCTGTCCCTCACCCCACTCCTGACTTTAGCAGCCTTTGCTTCCAGTTCATTCATTTGTCAATAATTGGCTGCTGAATGCTTGGGTTGTCCAACAGGTTAAAAAGACCAAGTTTCTCACTGTGTTTCTAGGAAGTGCAGGCCTGGGCCTCTGGAGACTCTGATTTCACCACTAATTAGTTGTGTGTCACCATCAGGAGTTTCTTTCAATGGTCTCATCTTTTAAGTGGAAGAGCCTGATCTACCCAGTTTTTACACCATCAAGTGGTTGGGTCTGACTCCCTTCTCTTCCTTTGTGACCTCATGGTCACCAAAATACATTAATGAGGTACAATTCATTTTCCTTCTAAAATAAAACTAAAAACATAAATGCCAGTCACAACTCAAGGTCAATAGGAGAACTTCTTTGCATTAATGATAATTCTTTATGCCGAAAAGAAATCATTTAGGTTAGCCTGGGCGACCTTGTTACAGGCAATATATTATTCTTATCAGGCGTGCGTGTTTTATTGAGCTGAGTTCAACTATCGTCTTCTATATTACTGGATCTATAATTTGCCTGGAGAATTTAATAATGTTGATGTAGATTTCTGGGCCCTGGTCATCAGAATTGACCATCCAGTAGGTTTGTTGCAGGTCCAGAAATTTGCGTGTTAACAAAACTGCCCACGGACTACTAGCTGTGCCCAGGTTAAACCCAGTCACACTTCCCTCCTTGGGTTGATTATAATTACTGGTATCTATTTGCCAGTTAGCCCTTGGAATACTGTTGAATACCAAAGCCACAGCTGCGTTCAAAGTAGCAGTCATACTGCAGGAGGTCTCTGTTTTCTCCAGCTCTGGTTTTTGTAAGGCCTTGCAGATTTTTTTTTCCTCTAAAATTGTATATAGATTAAAGATGAAAAAAATGAAAGTTAATTTAGCAAGCATTTCTTGAGAATCCCCTATGTGCTATATGCTCTGCTAGGTTCCAGAATGTACAGATAGCTGTCCCTTCAAGAAGCTGTTATGATTTCTTGTCATTCATATTACTTTGGAAGAGGTAGGACWCTTTCAAAATATAAATATCTTTTTTGGCTATAGTATGAGCATCAGTATTGATTTTCTTGTACAGTTTATCTGCAGGGCACTGAAAGTATGAACTGTGAATCTTTTTACTTAATCTTTTTACCTTTTAATGCTTATAGTCAACTCATTGAAAACAATTATTTTTCAAAAACTTTTTTTTTCCTGTAATATTATAATTTCTTTCTGGGTGGTCTGTGAGGTTATAGGCAGAATTGTATTGGCTGAACTTTTGTAGACAAAGCATTCTTTTGTCTATATTTCTTGGATTTGAAGTCTTTTTTTTTATTTTTAAAAAAATATCTTTTTTAGTTATAGATGGACAAAATACCTTTATTTATTTATTTTTTTAAATGTGGAGCTGAGGATCAAACCCAGTGCCTTCCACATGTGAGGCGAGCACTCTTATCACTGAGCTACAACCCCAGCCTCCCCCCACCTTTTTTTTTTTTTTTTTTAACTTTTTACACGACTGAAATTGGATGCATCTTAGGACTTTTTTGTGTTTAATGGAATAGGGTGTGTCATCTATTCTCCCTTCCATCCTCTGAAAGCTGTTAAAAGGAATGGTTGTCTTAACAGYATGAGTAGTGTGAGCATCGAATAATACATTTGCCTAGTAACATCTAAGCTAGGTTCCAAGTAACTAAGCCTCCAATCATTTCAGCATGTACCCAGAGAAATAATAAATGTTGTAACTTTTGGCAATATAAATAGTGAAATTTATATTCTAACAAAAGCATATATYTTACAGTATTACAATTTAATTTTATGCTTGTAAGTGGAGAAAATTACGTGATTTTATTTTGGTTTAAGTATTTTGTGCATTTTATTTAGCCACACTTTCTGATAGGTGTGCTTATACTGTATTCATATTTTATGTTTAAGGAAAACAAGCCTTTCACTAGCATCTTCCTGCTTATTCCTTTAAATATCAAAGAGACTAATTCTGAGTAATAAGAAATATGTGACTGAATATAAAATTGTAGGGTACCTTTAGTGAAACAAATCTAATAAGCCACTCTAACATTTAGTTTTTTTTTTCCTTGGAAATTTATTTATTTATTTATTTATTTATTTTTTTATTGTTGGTCGTTCAAAACATTACATAGTTCTTAATACATCATATTTCACAGTTTGATTCAAGTGGGTTATGAACTCCCAATTTTACCCCGTATACAGATTGCTGTATCACATCAGTTACCCTTCCATTGATTGACATATTGCCTTTCTAGTGTCTGATGTATTCTGCTGTCTGTCTTATTCTCTACTATCCCCCCTCCCCTCCCCTCCCCTCCCCTCCCCTTTTCTCTCTCTACCCCTTCTACTGTAAATCATTTCTTCCATTTGTATTATCTTGTCTTACCCCTCCTTTCCTCTTATATGTCATTTTGTATAACCCTGAGGATCGCCTTCCATTTCCATGCRATTTCCCTTCTCACTTCCTTTCCCTCCCACCTCTCACCCCTGTTAATGCTTCTTCTCAAGCTCTTCGTCCCTACCCTGTCCTTGTTTMCTCCCCTTATATCAAAGGAGTCATTTGGTATTTGTTTTTTAAAGATTGACTAGCTTCACTTAGCATAATCTGCTCTAATGCCATCCATTTCCCTCCAAATTCTATGATTTTGTCATTTTTTAATGCAGAGTAATACTCCATTGTGTATAAATGCCACATTTTTTTTTATCCATTCATCTATTGAAGGGCATCTAGGCTGATTCCACAATCTTGCTATCGTGAATTGTGCTGCTATGAACATCGATGTAGCAGTGTCCCTGTAGCATGCTCTTGTTAGGTCTTTAGGGAATAGACCGAGAAGGGGAATAGCTGGGTCAAATGGTGGTTCCATTCCCAGCTTTCCAAGAAATCTCCATACTGCTTTCCAAATTGGCTGCACCAATAACATTTAGTTTTAAAATTTAGATTTGAGCAATATATTGGAATCCCAAAGACCATTTGTAGGTTCTGTGATTTTTTTGCGAGAACGTGCTGATTCATTACAGCAAAAACATACTAAGCACATTAGTAAAGGGGAAAAGGCATATGGAAATAAAGTCCTGTGGTGACCAGGTACAAGATTCCAAGTTTCTTTTTGTGGAGTGCTTAATTGCTCTGGGCCCTAATTTTGTCACCAGGTGTGAAAYGTTGCCAACCAGGGAAGCTCATTAGAGACTCAGTGCTCAGGGTTGTTACAGGGACTAGTCACATAGGATCTGTCTTCTTGGCACATACCAAATGTCTAGACACAGAGAAGGCAAGCAGGTATTCAGTATAAACTGTATTGTTTTACACTTCAGGCATCRTGAGCCACTCATTAATTAATGGTGTTGGGAACCTCCCTAAATCTTAAGTTCTGAGWTATCATCCACAAGCTAACCTCTCAAAGGGTTGCAGTCAGTCAAGCTACGGTGACTCTATTTTGTACAGTCTTTATTGACTCTCTTTTCATATCTCCTGTACATCACTTTAGAATTCCAAGTACTGGCAATGCTTTTTCTCAGTAAAGCCTTGATTCTTTGGTTTGTCCATTTGATTTAAAAGGTATAGGAAACATTTTCAGAAAATATCTCATTGGCTATATATCCTAAAATACTAGTTTATTTTTTCCAAGCTTAATTAAGCGCTTACCCCTCTACTGTAGGTTTTTAGTATCAATTTGTATTAGTTTTCCACCATGATCGGGAATGTCTTTTGAAAGAACTGAACTGTTCATTGGTTTGAAATTTAGGCGCTAAAATGAGGCCATTATAGACTTYTGTATTTTGACTTTCCCATATCCTCATTTGTTCAGTTTACATCTGGGTTGCATTTTAAAAATTCTTTGGTAAATTAGTTGCAGTACATAACAAATTATTCTAGAGTGTTTACTTCTCAGGCCAGAATACTAATTCTACTTAGTCTGTTGTGTAGCTGAAATACTTCTTAGTTACAATGAAGAGAAAACAACATTCTTGTAATTCTGATAATTCAACAAAATAGGAAACCATAACACTTATAAATTACTGGTCTTGGGAAAAAATTGGCATTTATAAACACCAGTGCTTCTTAACTTTTTGTTTGTTTGTTTGTTTTCCTCCACAAACGGAAAAGACTTCTAAGAATCTGGTGAAAAACAACCCCTTTCTTGGGGTAGGGTGAGTACAGGTTGAGTGTCACTAATCCCAAAGTCTGAAATGCTCCAAAATCCAAAATGTTTTGAGTGCCAGAATGATGCCACAAGTGGAAAATTCCACCTGACGTCTTAGTAAGATGCCTTGATGATCTGTGCACATTGAAATCGGAGAGTGCTGTGGTAGAAGTTAATGATTTTGGTATTTCAGTTATGATGTTTTATTGTTTGTTTAAAAGTTAGTGTTTTTAAAAACTTGGCATGTAATTATTTTTGGCCTTCACTTTTCAGCCCTTTTTGTTGTTGTTGTTGTTGTTGTTGTTGTGTTTTGTTTTGTTTTAATGGGGTGGGGGGATGATAAAGTGGGAGTTTTCAAGAAAGGCTCAAATTTGGGAGTGAAGAGTTTCAGGAGGTTGGTGGAGTCTTGGGAGCAAGCAGCATCTCACTTCAGCCACCAGGTGACACCACTGGTCCAGGCCATCGTGATTTCCACCTGAACAACAATTGAGCATGTACTGTGCTGAAAGCACCTGGCAGTGGACAGCTATTGATTGTTTGCCATCAAATGTTTGTAACTCAGAGTTCATCTAATTAGATTCAGGGCTTTGTGCTGATAGAAGCTCAATTCAAAAATTTTGGCTTTGCTGTATCAATGGCCACAGGCTAAACCTATGACTAAGAATTGCTGAGACAGTTGAATGGTTTAATTTGGGATAATTATACCTCCTAATAAATAATGAATTCCAGGACTTGAGTATATACACAAAAACATGTTTTCCTTTAAATGAATGCGTAATCTAAGTAGTGTGTGAAGCTGAATCATATCTTGGAAGAAATGGCATTGACTTAAGCCTGTCTCATTTCTAGAGGAAGCAGTGTTGACTTGGGAATAGTTCTCATAAAGGCATAGTGTTCAGCCATGGTTTGTGTGTACAGGCCACTARCACCAGCAATGGCACTTCCAGTAGACCTAACCATGTATGTTTTTTTTTTTTCCTTTGGATAGGTTTGCATTCCCTTCTTGCTTGAAGACAGACAATGCCAAAGAAAGTGAAGCCTGCAGGGAATGGGAAGGAAGAGAGTCCTGTTCCCTGTAAGCAGGTGAAAGTGGAGGCAGCTGGTGGACCTTCCACCTTAAACTTTGAGAGCCCCAGTGGTCTCTTTGAAAGTCTGATTTCACCCACCAACATAGAGACATTTTTCAAGGAATTCTGGGAGCAGAAGCCACTTCTCATTCAGAGGGATGACCCTGCAGTGGCAGCATACTACCAGTCCTTATTCAGGCTGACAGATTTGAAGAGTCTGTGCAGCCAGGGTATATACTATGGAAGAGATGTGAATGTCTGTCGGTGTGTCCATGGGAAGAAGAAGGTTTTAAATAAAGATGGAAAAGCACACTTCCTTCAGCTGAGAAAAGATTTTGATCAGAAAAGGGCAACAATTCAATTTCACCAACCTCAGAGATTTAAGGTAACAAGTTTCCCTATTACAGGTCTTCATACTTGCCCMAAATGCTAACACTTGACCATACATAAGCTCACAAGTGAATATGCTGAGCCTCCTGCCATTTTTGGAAGGCATAGCACCTAGTTGGTGCTCTTTAAAGAAAGAGTCTGAGAGTCTGTATTATCTTTTGGCTCTGTTATTRGGAACTCCAGTAACTAAGGGTGGACATTGTTGAGTATCTCTGAGCTACAAAAACTAAATTACATTGATAGTTTATAAAGTTATTAAAGTAGTATTACACCTTCAGGATCATGTTCTATGGACTGATTTATGATTTTGTATATTGTAGAGATTTCTGTTTGGTTTGTCCTACTACTATAATTTAAGACATGATAGCATCAAGGTGATATATTTTTTTTGAAATTGCCTCCCTTTGCTGCCTACATCTTTCTAAGAAGAGGCTTCAGAGCTGGAACCAGATCACATACCAGATGTATGTCTAAGAAAGTGACCTCTCTTCCTATTGACAGTTGAACTGGTAACATTAAAGGTTGGGGTCCTGAAACTTTTCCTGGGGAGGCAGTCATAAGTGCAGGATAACTTTGATTAAAATTATCCTGTAATCAGTGACTGACATTTGGGAAATAATTTGCCACCTCTGTACTCATTAAATGCAGATTTAGGATGAGGCAATCTGCTTTTTTAGAGATCTTTGTGTYAGCTCCAAATTGTTGAGGGTCTCATCTGAGTTTTAGATACTATTAGTCTCATTGTTGTAACCAATGATAGAATCACAATGGCAGCAAGGGAGAAGAAAGTGGAGTTTGAGGAGATTCCATATTGAGGAGAGTAGGATTCTGCCTGTATTGGTGGTTTCTGAGACTCTGCCATCGGTTACCAATAATATTTCTTACAATTTAACTCAGAAGTTGGTTTGTTAGATCCCATTAGGCTTCAACTGGTTAGTGCCATTCCTTCTCTTGTCTAAAGGTCTTGAACCTATTTATACTCTAGATGAAATATAAGTACTCAGGTGTTTTCAGGACAAGTCCTGATTCCAATTATTACATCTCAGGCAATCTTAAAATGTTGAAATGTCCCTGTAATGCCAGCCTTTTGGCACTAACCCCCCAGAAGGAATTTATAAATGATTTCCCAAACCAACTCATGATTTGAATTTAGAAAATATGGACCATATATAAAATGCTTCTCTTTAAGCTAGTTGACTCTTTACCAGACTAGAAGTAGCTTTTTTTTAAGAGAGAGAGAGAGAATTTTTTTTCTAATATTTATTTTTCAGTTATCGGCGGATACAACATCTTTGTATGTGGTGCTGAGGATCGAACCCGGGCCGCACACATACCAGGCGAGCATACTACCGCTTGAGCCATATCCCCAGCCCCATTTTTAAAAATATATATTTTTTTAGTTTTAGGTGGACACAGTACCTTTATTTGATTTTTATGTGGTGCTGAGGATCAAACCCAGTGCCTCACGTGTGCCAAGTGAGTGCTCTACCACTAAGCCACAGCCTTGGCCCCTAAAAGTAGCATTTTTAAAAATATATTTTTAGCTGTAGATGGATACAATATCTTTATTTTATTTATTTATTTTCATGTAGTGCTGAGGCTCACACCCAGTGCCTCACACATGCTAGACAAGTGCTCTACCACTGAGCCATAACCCCAGCCCAGAAGTAGCATTTTTTGAGTAATTTTTAGAAACCTAAGAACTAAGAATATAAATCAATGAAATTTGTTACATATAATTTGGTCATAAACCAGAAATTTATTATTTGGCCCATGTGTGGTATTCTCTATGGCTGCCATTTCTGTATTTCAGAACCATCTCCCCCAGGGCTTTTCTCTGTTTGTCTGTTTAAGCCTTGCACACCCTTCTAGGATTCCAAGTGKCCAAGAAGCTGTTTCCTTTGCACTATTTACTCTTCTCTTTGGTTGGGTTTAATTATAGAAAGGATGACCTTCCTCAGCCAAAATTCAGCCCTCATACTAGACTAGGATTTTTTTTTCCTCTTTCCACCACCAGTACCTGAGAGACTATAAGCTATAAGAACTCACCTTCTTACATAGAAGCTGAGTTCAAAATTCTGTGTTATGAGGAGGATTAGTGGTGAGTGTGTGTGTGTGTGTGTGTGTGTGTGTCTGTGTGTGTGTTAAGGAATGAGTCTATGACATCAGAATAAGAAAGTTCAGAGATGGTTTACACTGGTCAGGTCAAGAAGGTGTCAGCCTGAACAGTTAGCCCATTGTTCACTGAGTCTCAGACTGTCTAAGTCTTATTAATCTAGATATTCTGCATACTTTCCCATAGCTATTCTAAACTGGTCTGGTGTTTTTGACTCCACATTTAAGTCATTTTCCTATCAGACTTTGAAAGATGATTATTGAAAGTAGCAGAACTTTTGAATATTAAGCCTTTCTTTAGGTATATGAGTGGAATTCTGGTCTTAGCCGTGGCATTCTATTTTGTTTCTGTGGAGACTGACATTTGGGAATTGGAGAAAGGTCAGTGGAGGAGGTTGTACCCAACCAGGAGAGAAATCTTCACCACCCTTGTCTTTCATTTTTCTGGTTCTCAGACTCTGTGCACAGTAGGAGTTTGTGGTAACAGGAGACAGGGGCCTTCCTTGTACTCCARTTAGTGTTGTAGTGTAATACTTATATACTGCTTTGCAGTTTAAATAGGTTTTGAGATAAGTTGAGTTTTGCTCCTCCCCAATATTGGGGTGGGGTGTTAGTAGCTTTGCTTTATAAAGAAATCTGTCAGGGCTGGGGATGTGACTCAAGGGGTAACGTGCTCGCCTGGCAATGGCGGGGTGCTGGGTTCGATCCTCAGCACCACATAAAATAAAATAAAGATGTTGTGTCCACCGAAAACTGAAAAATAAATATTAAAAAATTCTCTCTCCTCAAAAAAAAAAAAAAAGAAATCTGTTGCCTAGCTTGTGACTACAGTTGGACTCATCTCTTTTCAGTAGATCACAGTTGGCAGATTCAGAAGCCAAAGGTCTAAGAAAAACAGAAAAACTGTACAACTGATAGCATTTGCAGTAACCTTTAAGAAGAAGAGACATGTTTACATCAATTGCACACCTTGAATGATCTTGAATGATGCTTGGGCTGGGAAACAAAGTCAACCATTTTGTCCTGAAAGACCTCTAAGGACATCGGGAGAAAAAGAAAAGCTCTGGTTTCTTAGTGGTTCCACTAACTGTACAAACATAATTATAAAGCCAGGTCCTGTTGGTCTCTCTCCTGAAGTAAATTAGGTTCTTTGGGAGCTCTAAATTTTCTGAGGTATTCAGAGTCCATTAAGTTATTTTTCTGTGTCAAGGAGAACCTTCGAGATCTAAAATAAAGAAGCCCAGTGGTCCATATAAAGATATCTTCCAAAGCTTTTGATTTTTATGCTGACCCATTTTATCCCACTTTGTGATTTTAATACTGTAGATCTCTTTTAGTCCAGTGGTAGAATTGACTCTCAAGTTATAATTGATTTGCTCAGCAAATATTTGAAAATGTTRTAATGTCTTCTATGAGCCAGGCACTGAACATTCATATGCTTAAAACTTTGGTCTCTCTCTTCACAGCTGGGGTTGTAGCTCAGCTGTAGCATGTTTGCCTAGCACTTGTGAGGTTTGATCCTCAGCAGCACATAAAAATACGTAAATAAAATTAAGGCATTGTGACCATCTACAACTCAAAACAAAATAAAACAAAGCAAAAAAAAAAAAAAAAACCCTTTTGGTCTCTTTAGTGTAAGTGAGTCACCTTTTCTTCAGTTATCTTAAAGGCATGGACTCAGGAGCTGATTTGCCCAAATTTGAATCCTAACTCCATCATTTAATAATTGTGTGTTCTGGTGCCTCAATTTTCTCATTTGTAAACTGGAGATAATGGTAGTAACCACCTTATGAGACAGGGTTGTTGTGAGGGCTATAGAATGAATAAAAAAGCAGTTTGAGGCTGTGCCCTGTCTTGGGGAAAAACTAACACATTCTCTCTCTCTTTCTCTCTCTCTCTCTCTCTCTCTCTCTCACACACACACACACACACACACACACATAGTTCCTGTCTAGGCACTTCAGTGGGCCTTATACCTAACAATTGATTAGTGACTAGAGAGAGAACATTGCTCACCCTTGTTCTTAACTCATTTGTCTATAAGCTTTTTCCTAGGTTTCATTTCTGCTTCCATTGCTTTAAATACCCATTTTGTGTAGGTGGCTCCCAATCTCTAGCCCATACTTCCTGCTAAAACTTCAAACTTACTTAAAAACACTTCCACATTGTGGGGAGAGGAGTGGTCTTAGCATCCCAAATTTAAACTTTCTTGTGTGAAGCTCGTGGTCCCCCCACCCCCCCTTGAAAACTTATTTTTTATCAAGCCTTTCTTGTCTCAGTCAGTGGAACTGGGAGCTAATTGCCCAAGTCAGAAACCCAGGTGTCTTTTTTTTTTTTTTTAATTCCTTTCATTTCCATGCCCCTTTATCCATCAGCATGTCCTATCAGTTCTACTTCCAGAGTACCCCTGGGCTTTTCAAATTCTGATATCCCTCTTCCACCATCCWGCTTATATTTTACCTAGACTGCTATCTCAGTAGCTTCTAGACTGGTGTCTTACATTTGTACAATCCGTTTTCCACCCAGGAGCCAGAGTGASCTTTTAAAAATGTTAATTGGTTCATGTCATGTGCATGTCAAAAATCCTTCATGACTCACAGTTGCTGCCTTGCCAGTCTATCATTTGCTTACTTCTTTGCAGTAGTGTCTGTGCTAGAAGGAAAGATTCTTGAGGGCCCTTTACTGGTTAATTGTCTGATCTATGATAATTGTGAAAGGAAGGCTTCCTAAGTGAACAAAAACATTTGTTTTATTGCTAATTTATTTTTATCCCTCCCCCCTTTTCTTTAAAGGATGAGCTTTGGCGGATCCAGGAGAAGCTRGAATGTTACTTTGGTTCTTTGGTTGGCTCCAATGTGTATATAACTCCTGGAGGATCTCAGGGCCTACCTCCCCACTATGATGATGTTGAGGTGAGAGAAGAAGCATATTGCCCAGTGTGGGGAACAATGAGTTATTGAGAGCATGGTTATGAAGTTGCTCTGGGAGTCCTTGGGGTTCTTTTCATGTTACACTCTAAAACTCYAAGACCAAGTCTGTGGCTGTTCTTTATGTGCACTCTCTGGAGATCTTGAACTCATCTAAATGTTGGGCCAAAACAAATCTCTCCAAATTGATTTCCTGCTCCTTCTCAAAGGGAGAGATTGTTTCCAAACTTACTAATAAAAAAACATCAGATTCATTCCTTTGAAACAGGAATTTACTGAACTCTATAGAAAAGTCATTAGCTTTTCCTTTAATTTCACAAAGTATGGTCTTTGATATAATGAGATCACACATAATCCCGGCTTCTGCTCTCATTTTCTTTTTTTTTCCAATAACTGCCAAAAATATATATGTTTTTTCCATTTGTAGAAAACTTGGGACAGCCTGAATGAAGGTCATGATTTAATTTAAGCACTGGCACTTTAACAAATGTTGATTTCATTGTCATATGGTTTCCAAAAAACTTAACTGACTTTTTATTTTTGTAAAAATATGAGGTATGTGAACACAGAGATATTAGTAAAAAGTTCTTTTTTTTTCCCCCTTCTGAGACCAAGTTGATGGTAGTACATTTTCCAAAAGAGTTTTTATTTCTATTCTTAATAGACCATTAAAGTATCTTTGGCTGAATAAAAAAAATAAAAAGTTTTCCTGTTTACCGAGCCCCTTTTCAATATTTTAAGACTTTAGGCATTCCATTATAGCTGAAACTTGCCTTTTCCAACTGAGATTATGGGCTTTCAGAGGTCTGTAAGATGATTTCAAGAGTGAGATTGTTAATATAAAGAACTTGGCAATACTCTAACAAAGTGAAAAAAAAAATTGAGTATCTGTTCAGTATCAGGATTTATGGTTACCTGTTTTAAAAAAATAAAACCAGTAGTGGCCACTTTTATTGTGTGGAGTGACATGCATTTCAGATTCTCTCATTTTTAATTTTTGTCTGAAACTTAGGATTTGTCTAAACCCCCTCAAAGAACTAATATTCAGAAAGATTTTGCACKTGAATTGTCAGGAAACTCTGACCTCCCAGGTCTGTGGCTTTTTATAGGTTTTCATCCTGCAGCTGGAGGGAGAGAAGCACTGGCGCCTTTACAAACCCACAGTGGCCCTGGCACGTGAGTACAGCGTGGAGGCTGAGGCCAGGATTGGCACTCCAACACATGAGTTCACATTAAAGGTATGGAGTGACCATATGGGCACCTCTATGAGCTGGCCTKTCTCTGTTGCTAAGACAAGTTCAGGTTTGAGGTTTAGAGTTTATGTAACCATCCCTGTGGGAATGTATCCTTGGGACTCTGAGGTAGGATGGCTCTCCTTGCAACTAGCCAGCACAGGCAACTTCTGAAGGAGTCTTGGGGGTTTGCACTTGGAGAAGTGAGCTAAGGAAGTATTACATTTATTTCTCAAATAATCTATAACCATATATGATCCAGTTTAACAGAAATAAAGTTAATTCAGTGTACCATGAAGTTCTCCAGAAAAAAAGTGAAAGATTTGGCCTTGGGCAGTTTTTCTACATCTAAGACAGCAGGTGGAATGGGTTGTAGGTTGCTTAGGCAAAGCCTGGCCAGGAATCTCTTCATTTTTTGGTTGCAAAAACTCTAGTATAACCCACATTCCTCCTGATTATGCAGCAGACTATTTTCTGCACTCCTTCTTTCTCCCTGCATATAGTTACTAGAAGAATAGTAATTAATGAAAGTTCTTTAGGATTCTTCCTCCAGGGAGCCAGGTGGCTTTATCATGTGCATTGGCATCTTTTTGCTGAGAAAATCTGTCTTTGAGCCGTTAGCATGGATGGGAACACAGCCAGTCCTCAGCAGGAGAGGTTGTTGAGAAAAAAACTTAAAGTATAAAAAAAGCTTCATAATTAAACTTTATACTCTACTTTAATGCTACTTTAATTTCCTTTAGTGGCAGTTAAACAATGGTTAATTCAAGCTATTCCAGAGATGCTTATAATAGAATATATTGCAATGGAATTATTTACATACAGTTATTGTTTTTGTACTTATTTCATCTTCAAGTTGTAATTAGTATAGAATTCTTGTCAATGCCTGTATCTGTTTCTGGATTTTAAGATCTTTGCCTGTTTATCTGCCAAGAACTAGGGGAAAGCAATCTCTTTTTTTAGGATTGGGCCTAATTATAGTGTACTTAAGTAAATAAACAACAATAAAGGTAACCTTGGTTTTATATGCCTTTGGTCAGCAGTCTGTAAACTATGGTCCATGGGTCAAACACCTGGCCTACTGCCTGTTGTTATGAATAGAATTTATTGGTACAAAGCCACACCTATTCCTAAAGTATGTCTATGACTGCTTGCATTAAATAGTTTACTAGTTGCCATAGAGAACACAGGGCCTCAAGCCCAAAATACTATATTTGACCCTTTAGAGAAAGAGTTTGCCCATACCTGCCCTTGTACATTTACCAGAATCTTGGTTGATTGTGTTTAAGCTAGAGACTAAGCCATCTGGGGTTTTTGAGGCCAGGGCTGAGTTGCTCAGGTGGACAGCCTGGCTATTTGTCATGCTGAAGAAAGTCAGGCTTCATAGTGGTCTTCAAGTGTGGAGGGTGTGAATTCTCTGTACTGTTGCCATGGGACTTGGAAGACGAGATGGAACAGATGTCCATTAAACATTCAATGAACACTGTTTATTAACAGAAGCTCTGAGTCTCCTGGAAGGAGAAAAATAGCATTGTGAGGTACACTGCTTTTCAAGTGTGTATATGCACATACATGTGAAATTTTAATCAGTATACCTCTTCAAATGAAATTGCCTAGTATATGAAACAAAAGCTGAGTCACTCTGGTTGGGAGAAGTGTGTGGAAGATACTATGGGAGTGCTGAAGCCCTTGTCACCCTTTTTCCCACTATTGCAGTGCKAGCCAATGCAGTATATTTGCCAAACCAGGAGTGTTAGGGTGAAGACAGCCCCCATAGCAAAAATAACAACCCTCTGCTTGGTGATCTGACAGAGCTGGTTTGAATTCAGATGTTGTCACTTAAATAATTTGTCACTTGGACAAATTATTTAAGTCTGTTCTTCTTCATTAAAACAGAGATCATAATATTTACCTTGTAGGATATAAGAATTGAAGGATATTATTTTGATATCCCCTTTACAATGAAATCACTTTGATGAGGTATAAAAGTATGTACTAGTGTAATGATTTTTTTWAAAAATATGTATTTTTTAKTTGTAGTTGGATACAATACCTTTATTTTATTTATTTATTTTTATGGGGTGCTGAGGATCGAACCCAGGGTCTTGAAAGTGTTAGGCAAGCGCTCTACTGTTGAGCCACAACCCCAGCCCGTAATGATTATTTTAGTAACAAAAAATTTATTWTARTTCTGGAGGCCAGGAGTCCAAAAGTGGTCTCCACTGTGTTGGCAGAATCACATTCCTTCTGGAGGGAAACTCTCAGGGAGATCTTCCTTGCCTTTTCCAGTGAGGGCCGGAAAGCATTGATCAAATGTTTGTGGAATGAATGAAATGTGTATGTGAGGCTCTCACCTACACAGGAGCCAACAGAGAAACACTCATTAAATGGTTCTTTTAAGTATCAGTAAAGCATTTATTTACCTGCAATACTGTCAGTTTGGTAAAATTTAAAGCAAATCAGCAGCCAAAAATATAAATAAATGTATATTGCTTTTGCTTTGAGGGAAATCTTTAAAATTCTTTTAAAGGTGGTATTTCTTGAGTTCTGTCTCTAGGGCTCTTTTACTTAACTATTGAGCTAGACTGCTTCCCTTACTTCAGAGAGGAGATGAATGGCTCTCAAGATTCCTTCTCTCTTTAGGCAGTTACAGAATGTTGGTCTCAGTGGGATTAGGGAGGAGGTAGCTCAGGGCAGGAGTAATTTGGGAAGAATTTTTTCATCTGTTTATTTGGGAGAGAGTAAAGGGGTAAAAGGGAGTAGGCTTATCTACCCAAGAAGATAATCCATTATATCTAGTTTGTAGGTTCAAATAAGAGTAATATAGATTTTCAACCATTTATCTAACATTTTTTGAACATATGTTGTGTGTTGGGTGCTTTGCTAGGTTGGGCTCTGGGGAATATAAAATGGGTAATTGACCCTTCCTGAATGAGCTCAAATATTATTAGAGTGGTAGTGTGGCAGCCAAGATATGTAAGCACATAGCACATACCCATCTTTGCCCTGGGATCTTTGAAAACTGCATGTCCCTAATCCTGTGGGGTATGGGGCTGTTACCCCATTCTAGTAAAAGAGAAACTGAGGCTTAGGGAAGATAAATGAATTGCCCTGGTCAGCAGTCCATAAATGGCAGCATCAGTGTGACAAGCTTCACTCTTAACCAGGAGGGAGAGAAGATGCTCCCCAGGAACACCTTCCTGGATCCCAGAATCAGGCAGGGATGTTTCAGGTGTATCTGGTATCAGCTTGAGTTTAAAGACAGTGACTCTAGGCCTGGATTTCTGTTGGATTGTGGTTCACAGTGACAGGCTCATGGACACAGTGAAGCTGGATGGAGATTGTCCCATGAAGCAGTGGGTTTGMGTAGAGATCTGAAGCTCAATACCTGTATTTATCTCATTAAAACAAAGAGGACTATCTGGGCACAATGGTGCACTCCTATAATCCCAGCAGATCACGAGTTCAAAGCCAGCCTCAGCAATTTAGTGAGACCCTAAGCAACTCTGCAAGACCTTGTCTCTAAATAAAATACAGAAAAGCACTGGGGATATGGCTCAGGGGTTAAGTGCCCCTGGGCTAAATCCCAGTATCAAAACAAAAACAAAAACAGAAAAAAAAAAAGAGGACTGAGAAGTATAGCTCTTGTTAACTCTACCTTTTCTTTCTCCTTTAGCCAGGTGATTTGTTGTACTTCCCCAGAGGGACCATTCATCAGGCGGATACTCCTTCAGGGCTGACCCACTCTACTCATGTGACCATCAGCACCTACCAGAACAAGTAAATGCTCCGTCCTCAGCCTAGCATCCCGTCCCTAGCACTGAGTTATGGCCCAAGCAGCCACATTCAGCAGGGACCTGAGGGAGTTGGCCACCTCCTCTTGTTTCTGTCTTTTTRCTGACTTCCCTATTTCTTTGATGTCTCATGTGTGTGATTGGCCCATTGGACTTGCTCCTGGGAGCACCATGGATCTCACTCTATATAGAATACTGGGAAATTGCCTGAATACAAGGTTTCATAGTTTGAAAAGAAAAGAAAAAAAATACTGTAACTATGGGTGTGTCAGTGTGTTAGTGATGCCAGGCTGGGYTTGTAATCTCCGTGTCTCTCCTTCTCCCCTCTCCTTCTCCCTCTCTATCCCTACCTCTTTTTAKTTTTTAAAATTATTGTGGCAAAGTATATATAGCATAAAATATGTCATTTTGAATTATGTTTAAATGTAGAGTTTGTTGGCATTAGATTCGAACAGCCATTACCACTGTTTTCAAAACACTTCCAAAGTCCCCAACAAAATTCTGGAACCTTTGAAACCTCTTGATCTCTTAAGAGTTCCAGTTTTTACAGTCCATGAAATTTAAGTAGGAAAGGGAGCCTGGAACAGGAGGAACTAAAAGCACATGAGATAAAAATAGATCCACTTAAAATCATGACAGGAATTAGTTCATTTTTTTCAGTAGGCATGCACTATTCCTGCTAGTTGTCAGGAATGCAAAGGTTACATTTTGATGGGCTTTGAGAAAGCTGACACTCTGGAAGTGGTGGCAGGATCAAGGGATGGATATGTAAATAGTTGCCAAACAGTGTGATAAATTCTGTCTGAGGTTTGCACAGATACCCGTGGAACATAGAGGAATTCACTTAGTTGAGTGTCAGGGAAAGTTTCAGAAATGAATTGACACTATCCCTGAGTGAGTCCTAAAGTGTGCATAAGTGGGGGTGAGTCAGAAGGTTGGGGTAGGAGAGAACATTCTAGGTCCAGGGGATAATATGACCCTCTCCTACCTCCGAAGCCATGATTTACAAAATGAGTAAGCATACCTCTGCTTCCTTACCTGATTTTTCAGTATGAGATTTACCTCTATGCTTAAGAGCCTTACTGAAGGAACTGGCTGGAATTGGGCCTGAGGTCAGTTCTGTCTTTGCCCACAAGTAGAAGGCCCAAGCTTTATTAGGCTTCCATTCTGAAAAAATGTCTTTGTTACTGTGGCTATTGGGTTTCTTAAAGTGTGAGGAATAGAAAGTCTGAGTCTAKCTCAAGAGCAGAGCAACTGAGGGAGTGAGTCATAGGACTTGTAGAAGGGCCCTCCCACAGAGTCTGGAAACAGAAGTTCATTCTGGGTCTAGAGTAGCTCTGGACTTTGCCAGTCAAGTTGTTTTGCCCCATGTGCATCTTCTGGTATCCCCTCATTAATGTTGCTCTGCTACCCCCTTGCTCCTGAATTTTCTCTGCTTCTGTTTCATTTCTGTTATTGTCACCATCTGGTTTTCTGGTCATTGCTTTTTGCTCCCTCCTTTTCTTTCTTCAGCTTTGTGTACTCATAATATTGGCTTATCCCATGCTGTCATCAGTTACTTCTGACCTCCCTCTGAATCACTGAACGTATTTGTTTCTGCTGTTCAATATTTGACTCTCACTCTGCTTCCCGATGAAGCTCTGATAGGCTGCCCCTGGATCCCATCTCACCCTTATCCAGTTACCTGTAAGTGGGAGGAACTTTATAAGTTACAGAGGCTGCTGCCCATGTCTTAGGGTGGGCACCATAAATGATGTGTCTAGACTAGACTCTGACTTTTGTCTTGTATAACTCGAGGACCGTTGCTCCTTGGAGGTCTTCTGCTCTGAGCCTGGGCTCTGTCAGCTCCTGTAGGAAGGTGAAGATTTGGGGCTTCTCCCCAACACCTTCTCATGGCAACATTATTGGAACATTTGGAGCCTGTTCTGTGGGGCAACAGCAGGTTGAATTGGCTTTTTTATCAAAGTGAACTCCTTAAGAGGTATTATTCCTGAATTTTGGAAAGTCCCGAGGTCTGTCCTAACTCTGTTTAGAGAACAGAGCACTGTTTTTTAACTGCTGTTGAACTCTTCTCAGTTGTTGCCATATGACTTTCACCTATTAACAGTGCAAAGGAAGTAGGTATTTTATGCTGCTGCATGTGTCCTACAGTTGAAGTTCAATTAAAAGATGTGGCATTAAGTCACAAAGCAGTGAGGCCACCAGGTAGTGGATACCTTGGGGAAAGTACATCTCAAGTGGATTTTGTCCTAATTTGCCACTTCATCAGAAAGGGAACATAAAAGTGTTAATTTTCCTTACTGAGTGAGAAGCAAAAGTCATACTGTGAATTTCCATTTTGCACATAGCCAGCAATTTGAAATCTGCTGGTAACACAGGAAAATTTTAAACAAGCTAAGAAATGTTTAAAGAGGGCAACCCCACAGAGAGTGTTTCTTACACTGGCACATGGTTAAGAATGAGCCAATTTTACTACCCCAGAGAAAGCAAAAGTAATTGAACACTGAGCTTATCCCTAGATGTTATTTTTGGCCACTGGCTTCTCCCTCTACTCCAGTAAAACCATTGCTAGAAATCAATTCTTTTGAAATAGTTGTTGGTGGATATTTTACTAAAGAGCAGCTTCCCTCTTTTAAAATGCAGTGGAAAATGTAACATTTCACTGTTCAGGTAATTACATAGTCTGGAGATCTTGCTGTTTCCCTAAATGTATTCCTCTTGGATTTATTGCATAAAAGATACTTTTTCTAGATCGCCTGAGTGTTAAATTTCTACAAAGCTCCTCAGAGATACTTGTGTTAAAGCTTTGGTCCCCTGGACTTCCTATTTTATGACAGTATCTGATTATTTTTCTGGTATCTTTAAGAAAAATCATGAATGAAACTTAACTTTCCACTTTTAATTTTCCAAGTGAGTGCCTGCAGAGAAAGAAGCAGTGTGATCAATGAAGATCTTAGGTTTTCATATTGAGTAACATCAAATTAATTGAATTCAGAAAGCTTGGGCTGGGAGGTTGAAACCCCACTTGTAGTTTGTAGTTTTTGGTTTTATTAGTAACAGGCATTTTGCATATATTTGTGTTCTCACTGGTTTTTATTCTTTCTTTTTCATGGTATATGTTCTAGTTCATGGGGAGATTTCCTTCTGGACACCATTTCAGGGCTTGTKTTTGATACTGCAAAGGAAGATATAACATTACGGACTGGAATACCCCGGCAGCTGCTCATGGTAAGAGTAAAGAAAGGCATGTGGAGATGAAAGTGGCAGCCTCAGCCCAGGCCAGCCAAAGCCCTGTCTTCTGGGGATCCAGGATTCTTTACTCAGCTGAGCCAAGTTCTTCTGTGTTGCCTGCTGAGCTATATGATTTGCAGAATGAATGGATGTCATCCAGAGATCGTGGGTGTTGCATAAACAACTCTCTTACTTTATTTCACAGTGATAGTAGCAGGCACTGTGGAGAGCTTGTTGAATAAATTGGCCAGGAGAAATACACATGATGGGAAATGAGGAGGAAATAGGTTTGTTCCAATGATGACTTAGAGAAGAAACCCACTGGAGACCCAGGCCTTTGTGTATTCGCTGGTGCTCCTGCATATTTTTGCATTTTGAAATATGAGTACTGTTTGGTTAGTTTTGAGAAGATCATTAAATGAGGGCTGGGTGGAACAAAAGTGAAGCAGGCACCTTAGAATAGTGACTTGCTTTCCAAAGGCAGAGCCAGACTGCAGTATATGTCTAAGGATTCTTCTTTCTAGGAAAAATCCTGAAAATTGTTCTTTTTTTATTAACAACAGGCAGCATAACATGAATGGGTTATGAAGAAGTAATAGGATAAGGTTCTTAAGAGCTCTATTTATTCCTGTCCTCTCTTGAAATGACACAGAATTTTGTCTGTAGTGTGTGGTTGGTGTTAGGCTCAGCATACTACTGTAGAGACTGGGACCTCRGCAGTAAATTCTGCTTGGGTCCCCACCAAGGCTCACTTCTGTGTTTTTAGCAGGTGGAAACCACAACAGTTGCAACAAGATTAAGTGGCTTTTTGAGGACTCTTGCAGACCGGCTGGAAAGCACCAAAGAACTGCTTTCATCAGACATGAAGAAAGATTTTGTTATGCACAGACTCCCCCCTTACTACACGGGAGATGGAACAGAGCTGTCGACACCAGGTGGAGCTTTCTGTTTTCTTCTAGGTGGTTGGGGCTGGGGCCGGGGCGGGGGACATTTGAGGCTTTCCTGGGTAGGCCCCTCTTTGAGCAGATGGAAATTAAGAAGCAATTTAATATTAATGTGGGCATAAATCCATTCTTAGCACATAGAGTTAAACTAGATGGACTGCACTCATTAGCATCCTGTTCCTCACAAGTCATTTGCAAAGAACTTATAGCATGCTGGAAAACAAGAGCCCTGTCTTTGGGTTAGGAATATATATATATATATATATATATATATATATATATATATATATATACACACACACACACTTATGGGTACTCTGCTAGTCAAAATCTTCAAGAAATTTTAAGAACTTAAATACTGAAATAATCTTGTTGGAATTAAGGCAAAGGTGGGTCAAATGTTATCATTGTCAGATGAAATGCAAGAAAACTGAAGTCACCACATAAATTAGGTGACTAATTTATGACAGGTTTAGGCTGCAGCTGACATAATGCCCTCTGGATAGAGGATGTCAATGTCTTTTAGGAGAGGCTACAGAGAACAACCCCTTGAACCCAAAGTTGTGTTTATTGATTTGTTGCAATGGAGAAGACTGCACACCATTGGAAGGGCATGAGAAAGGACTTAGGGATGTGGGCCTGAGCTAAGTGATTTTGGAGAAGGTTCCAGGAAGTAGAGCATTGCTCTGGATTGATGCTGTCAGGATGAAGGATTTAGAAGAGACCCGATCAGAATCCTTCTTATCCAATGGGTAGGAGGAACACATAAGGCAATGTTACGATGGGTGAGCAGCAGCAGTCATTCCTTAGCCAGGTGGGAGTGTGGTCACTGGCGGTTTGGACAGTGTTCTTGTTTTTGCCTGAGTTCAGATATGGGTCTAGAATGTTTTCATCTTGACCTGTCATGGTTAGGGTGGTCCTATCTGACACTGTTGCTTTGTAAAAGGCCTTACCAGCTGCCAGGCCAGCTCACTGGCTGCTTCTCTTTTTCAGAGTTGAGTGAGGGGGTGTATTTTTACTAATCACCAGGTGAGAACCACTGAAATAAACAGTACTTTGAAGGGAGTTAAGAGATTTTTATTGCATCGACTCAAATCAAGTATTTTACCAGAAGTGTTTTAATCTTTAACAGAACAGAATTTGCTAAGTTCCATCTTATGACCCACAATGTTTTCCCTAATGGTTTCCTTGTCTTAGTTCTTCTAGTCAATAAAGTTATACCTCCCTAAGAGTCTCCCCACCCAGAGGACCTTGTAAGGCCTGTCAGTTGTAGTGACTGCCTTTTTACTAAGTTAAGTCCACTTTAGAAAAGAGTGACTATTTTTTTTTTTTTTTTTGTGAACTTTATTAGATAGCTTTTATCCGACACTATACTTGACCTACATAGACTTCCAGGGCCACACAGTTAAGAATAGTTAGGAATTGATGGAGTGGTACAGTTTGAACTCAGATAGTCCCTTGTGTGGGAAAAGCTGTTGGAGGATAGATACTGGAGAAATAAGTGCTCAGGCCAGATGGCAATATGTCCCAGTCTACTGCAAGTAGCTACCATGTTTTGATGGCATTATTTTTACCTGTTGAATGTACTCATGAACTTTTACCTAATTGTGTATCTGTCTTAACAATAAAGATAGCTCCATAAGCATAAGGATGCAAACTCATATTTGGATTCACCTGCAGACTATTAGTTTCCTAACCATTTGTACTGCAAGCAAGTTTGAATGGCTGGTTTCCTTTTTTGAAGGTTGGATTTTTCTTTGGTGTTTTCTAGGTGGAAAATTACCAAGGTTGGACAGCATAGTGAGTCTGCAGTTTAAGGACCACATCATTCTCACASTAGGGCCAGATCAGGATCCATCTGTGAGTATCCAAGAGGGATTTCCTCTCTTCCCAGGGTCTTTCCACTATAGGCCTCAGTTTATTATTCAAAAGGAGTATTGGTCCCTGCCCTTCTCCTTCAGGAATCCATTTGTGTTCAGTTTACCATCACTTTGGTCAGATAATGCCAAAATCTTACTGTTCCAAATTTTCCTATGTGTTGGATACTTGAGGGCTTCCTCTCATCCCCTCAGAGTCTCCTCCTTCATTTCTAGTTATGTAAATATGTCTGCTCTTGGCTTCCCATCCTACTACAGGCCATGTTTTTGAGAATCCCTGCTTCAGTCCCTCTCTGATCATTTGCATCAATTTCTGTGTGGTTTTGCTGATATTTCTTCTCAACTTCTAATCCCATAGATCAAAAATAATAGTCTAYACTCTGTAACCCTGCTATCTATCTAGCCCATGATTCTCAAAACTAGCTGACTGTGGAATCAGCAAGAAAGCTTTTAAAAAATTAAATTCCTGGGGCTGGGGTTGTGGCTCAGTGGCAGAGCACTTGCCTAGCATGTGTGAGGCACTGGGTTCAGTTCTCAGAAATGCATATAAATAAATAAGGTACATTGACAACTAAAAAAAGAATTAAATTCCAAGTCTCCTGTGGTCTGGGTTAGAACCTCTGCATTTATGGTTTTTTAAAGCTCCCTATACTAAGGACCTTGAGGACTGTCCCATACCCTGTTTCTTCCTCATCAGCTCATTTGGAAGGTGCCCCATGAATGATTGAGGAGGAATTCACACGTCTTCTATGTTGTACCAGCCATCAGGGCCAGACCTGGAAGGGTTGACATATATAAAACCTCAAAAATACACTATTAAAAAAATTCTAGTTATTTTGACAACCAATTAGTTTGAGACAGTGTGTAACAAAGAATGACAAAAGGTTCCAGAAAGAAGTAGGGGTCATTTGGGAGGCTATCACAATTCAAGTGTCATTCTTCTATAAATTACACGGCTGTTTTTTTTTTTTTTTTATTGGCTGCAAAGTGTACAGATATGATTAATATAAATCAAGTTCCTGAAGATACCATCTTTTAAAATAATGACTTTTAAGTTTCCATTGATGAATTATACAATGTGTATATGTCCATATAACTTTTTGCCCAAAGGATTCTTTAAAGATTAGATATAATTTCATTTGAGCAACATGACTTTTTCTTAGTGTTCACTTACTGGAAAACCCTCTTAGTACTGAAGCCCTCAATATTTTGTTGATGACTTAACATTCTTTTCTTTAAAGGATGAAGCTCAAGAAAAGATGGTTTACATCTATCATTCTCTAAAGAATAGGAGAGAAATACACATGATGGGAAATGAGGAGGAAATAGAGGTTTGTTCTAATGGAAACAATGTCATTGCTGAGATTTGGGTGGTGGCTGGGAAGAATCAATTATTTTTTATTTGTATGTAATATGCCTTTTATGGCTGTAGTATGGACTTACCACTTGATATCACTATGATACAGACCAGTTTTAAAAAGATACTAGCTGGAACCTGTAGCTTTATAGGAAAAGTAAAATAAATGTAAATGTAAGGCATTTCAAATGACTAATAATACCACTACTTAAATTAGAATGATTTTCATCTGATTTAAATGGGCATCAGCAAGTTTTGTGACTTCTCTAAGTTTATAGTTGATGAAAAGAGCTTATCTGAAGTTTCTGAAGGGTATCAAAAACAACAATGTAAGGTTTATGTGAAAATGCCACTTCAGCAAACTAAGTTTTTTAAAATTAAACTTATCCTTTTTCAGTCTCATGGACTTCGTTTCCCTTTTTCACATGTGGATGCACTGAAGCAAATTTGGAATAGTTCAGCAATTTCTGTCAAGGACCTGAAGCTTACTACAGATGAGGAAAAGGAAAGCCTGGTATTATCCCTCTGGACAGAATGTTTGATCCAAGTAATCTAGTGATGTTATAGAATCAAATAACTGCTATTTTACATGCTCATTTTTAAAATTTTTTTTAATGGGAAGTTGGGTAGGAGAAAATTGTCAACTGTCCTTACTTATTAATATATGGGAACATGGAAGGGGRAAAAAAAAAAACAGGAAATTACAAGGTGTCCCAGAATGTGACAAAACTATATTTTTGACAAATTTATTTAATCCAGTGTGGTAGAAAAGGCACAACTCCAAAAATGTATGATGTAGAACTAAAATGTCATTAACCTTTGTTCTTTGGAAATAACTTCTTTAATGCGCCTTCTTGGCTCTAGAACAATTTTTAAAATATTAACATGAAAATTTTTAAGTTTTTTTTTTTTACAATGAAAATATACATACCTTGGTGTATACACAAGCTTCCCTGTTAAAATAAAGTTATCCCTATAACATTAGTCTCATTAAATAATACAGCCACACCCATGGGAGGCACTCAACATCTATGGACTTGARAAAGTTTTTAGATTCTGCTTAAAAGATGACAAAAGCCTGAGATTTCAGGGGGAAAAAATATTTACATGGAAACACCAAGTCTATAAAAAATACTCAAAATAGTGGGTCTTGAGTTTAAAATATTGTTATTTTTACATTCTAAAGTGCATATAGGTTGATATTTTTWAAAATATCATTAGAGAATTTAATCTTTCTATATAAAAATAGAGTATTTTTCTGCATTCTGGCAAAAGTTGGGAATGAAAGAAACAGTTGTCTCAAGGTACATTTAAATCCATCTCAGGAAGGAAAATGCTTGTGAATTGTGCTGTTAAAGGTGGTAATGATTATTGGAAACTAAGTAAAAATTATTTCCTGATTTTGCTTTAATATAAGCTATTTAAAATGGGAGTGAAAACTAGTAGAGAAATCAACTGCACCTTTACTTGAAAAGTAAATTTGGACAGAGTTTTATTTCAGGCAGACAAAAATTTGACTCTTATATAGGAGTGTCATACTTTTCATGAACATTTCTCCTTAACGGCAAATCAAGCAAAATCTAGGGCAAGGTCTCAGCACCAGGACAGGTGACCCAATGCTAAAATGTGAGGTTGGCACTCCAAGGTAACATGCATTTTCAGTTTGAAAGACTGAGCAAAGAATGGCCACAGAAAATATTCCAGTCCTGGTGCCTTTTGCCTAATAAAGCTGAGGTCCCTCCATGGAGTCAGTTAAAAGTATTTAAATACTCATGGTATACTTCTATTATAAAAGCTTCAATATAGAAATTTGAAGACTTATTTACACACAGCAGCAGCTTAAGAGGAAGTCTTTTTAAATACATTTTCAGATGTTGCTAAAATTATTTTTTTACAAAAGTATGATATAGTTTATTTTCCTGTGTTTTGCAGTCATACAGGTGTCTGGGATATTAATAGCTAATACAGGTGACAGMATCACCAACATCCTATAGTGGGCCATCAGAATAGCATTCATGGTTGGTAGATAGGAAAGAAAACACAGACTTCCAGAAACTTGCTCACCATAACTGGAATCCATCAGGAATAAAACCTTTCCCAGAAATCATACCATTTTCTTCATAGATACACTGAATAACTGGCAAGAATATGGTGCAAGAGCAGCAGTCTTAGCTCCTGAAGGAAAAGTTGATTCTGTGCAGCGATTCAGTAGAGAGGGCACAGTAGCTTCCTTTCCACATGCATACATCAGTGAGGGAGGTGAGGTTCCTTTGCTCCTTCTAGGGATGGTGTTGATTCTCACAGTATTTCAATGTCCCATTTCTGAGTTTCTTTTCCCTCCAGGGGCTGATTTACAATGACATGAGTCTTGTCACAATAGTTTCCTCCTRAAATAGAAATTCCAAAAGAAAAGATTATTTGTTCACACAGGTGCTAAGCAATTTCACCATTTTCACAAGCTTTTGTTCGGCCCACTGCTTAAGTAGATGAATATGTCATTTACATAGTGGTCTGAAGTGAAAAATAGAGTTTGAACAGGCGTAGCCATTATTCACCTCAAATTGGACCTTATTATGACTCACATTGAAAAATTAAGAGGTATAATACGTGATTGTAGAAGCAGTGTGCCCTAACAATGCCATGCTTGAGAACAAACTGCTTTGAGAGAACTCTGGCTGGATGTCAGGTACTGTGTTTTTGTTTCTACATCAGCAGAGGCCGTGTGACTAAAGCCAATTAAAGCAAAAGCCATGAGTAATATGGCCATGACCTTGCTGAAGTAAAAAATAAGGTTAACTGACATCTACCTAAATTTTAACTGAAGACTGAAGGACCTTGATGACTCAGGAGAAGAAGTTGGAGATGTTCCTTTTCAAGAAACAGATGACATTATGGCTTATGATGCTTCAGTTGAGAATTGTTCCCAGGGTTTACAAACATTACACTTGCAAATGAAAATTTTACAACTTTACTAATGAACAAAAACCTTTTTTAAGACTTTGTTGTTGGGCTTTTCCTGCTTGATGCATAGTGTATTGGTTTGTAAAAATAACTTTTTTTCAAGCATAAAAGCATAAAGGATCATTTCCCTCATATATCAGAATGTCCTTTACTCAGAAGAGGTTTAGAACTTAAGCTGATATCCAGGGATACAAACATTTGCATATTATCAAAGGCCCACCTTTAACATCAAGGACAAGTTGCTCACTGAGATAAGAACTGATGGTTCCATTTTTATTCAGTCTCCATTTTTGCCTGAACTGTCCATGTTCAGTCCATAGGGCTACCTTAGCTCCAGGTGTGTCCCGGCCACCAATCACATCAAGACATGTATCACTGGCCTAGAAGCATTAAGAAATAGAATGGCAGTACCACATTATATTTGCTAACATCAATTTAATAGGGCCCCTTTTCTTTCAGATGAAGAAGTCATAGACATCTAAGTTCCACGTCTTAAAAGAATAGCCTATAGTATAATTTGAGTAGACATCTTAAAAGGGAGGAGTTGGTACAGAAACTGAAACAGAGGGTCCTGTACTTATTTTTAAGAGGGCATGCACATTTGACAACAGTGTTCAGTAAAGTTTTATTGACTTGTAATTAAATGTTGTTACTGTTAGCTTAAAATGTATTATGTTGATCTTGTTTTTCTTCTAAAAATACTGGATGTGCTGAAGATAATCCAGACAATAATTGTTTTTAGATGCTTTTCATTTTTGAAGCATGAGATTTATATAAGTCATTAGTGATACAATGAAACATGTTTGTAATTTTTTTTAACCTAATGTTCTGYGCTCCACAGTATCAATAATGAAGGGTCACAAAATAAATGAAACTAGTTTTCATTTTCTTAACATCCTCTAATAACAGCTGCTTCTACTACCACTTCATTATATATTTTGAAAACAAAGGAGTTTTAACATGTTTAGATTCACATAGCTGATTTTTATCTCACAAAAGCACGTTGTCCATTTTTGATCCAGTGACTTACATCACTGGTTTAAAAAAATAATTTAGGCATATCTATAGCATGTGATAACCATGGTTTTTCTCAAAACCTAAAATTTCTAGATCAAAAATTCTTAGTCAATTTTACTTATATGCTTTAGTACTACACATAAAGTGTTTTTATGATCACACAGTGAACTGTCTCTAGGAAGCTGCAGTTTCATTTATGCCAGTTAATTTAACTAGATTCTAGTTTCCAAAACCAAACACCAAAAAGTAGGGTACTATATCAGTGGGGATGTTTACCTTGGATTTAAAGAGTCCTCGACAGTAATACCAGATCTGAGTATTCTTTCCACTGTAGGGAGAGATGCACACAGACATCGCCCTTGTGTCCGCTAAATTTCCAGTGACTGTCAGATATTCATCTTGGGCTCGGTTTTTTATTCTGATGTACACTGCAGGCTGTGATGGGAGAAAAAGCCATTTAAAAATAACTTTTCCAAGCTGGAAATTAATCCTTCCAAAGAAGGAAAGCTGTGAGGAAAAGTGAGAAGTGATTAGATATTTACATCACTTTCACTCTTATTTCCTTTAGCTAATATGTATAAATTTATGTTTTCTATTGCTCCTGAGACTATTCAGCACAAAGCTGAAATTGTACAATCTAATACTTCCTGGGAAAAAAGGGTAAAAGGTAATATTTTCATTCACTACAACTATGTGTGTGGCAAGAGGTAGGGCAGTGAAGAATTCAGGACTTGGTGGTCTTTGCTCAATAATGTATCTCAGCTGTGCTGAGAAAGGTAGGGAAGTAGGAATATAGGCAAGAAACAACCTACAAGACAAGAACAGTAATCAAACATTCTGTCTCCAGCTGTGATTAAATGTCAAATGACTACAGTGAAAAGTCTTAAAAAGCCCAGGTAGGCAGAGAACTAGAAGCTCTGGTAATCTCTCTTTACCTAGGACTTTTATATGTCTTCAAAGGAAGACACCATGTATGTTTAATCGCTACTTGGGTATTCAAAAATTGCATAACAAAGGAATTATCTCCTTGGCCTGGAACATACAAAGGAATTTTTAAAAATATACTAAATCTGGGAATACTACTAAGAATAATAGCTAATATTTATTGCACCTTCAGTATCTTGTCAAGCAATATGTTAAATGCTTTCTGTGTCATTATGCTAAGACATACAGAATTCTTACTGTAAGAATTAAGGTTAAGAGTTAATTATATCTGTAAGGATCGAAATCAATACAACCCTTTCTGAAAGTATGGTTACTGACCTAAGTTTTAAAATAAAGTTAATATAGATGTGGACCCAGATGTATCTGCACRAAAACCCTTCCTGCTAACCAGCATGCTCCAAAGCCTATGCAGAAATGCAGTTATTATTCTTAAGACAAAGGGTGGCAGGGTAGGTAAGATGAAGGAACAGGGCACTCGATGGAAGCTCAAGAAAAACCATTCATGTTTAGGCCTCCAGCCTCAGTAAAAATATAGGATATCAACATTTCCTCCTGTGGTCAAGTGTTGGTATCTCAGTCAGAACCTTGGCTAAGTAATAATAAATGGTTTGGTAGTTAATGAGAGAGCACTTTCACTCTAAGAAATTTAAGTGCTAGGTAAGTGCAACATGGTATTAGGGTTAAGACCACAAGTGACTATTCTGCTTTTGAAACTTGTGATACATCAACATGAAGGTMGTTGAATTTTGGTAAATTGCTATCATGTTTAGCATTCCTCAAGAAATAAATATTCTGAGCATTTAAATTGGCAAACATAAGGATAAATTATCTGGTCACTTAGATCAAGTGAACATGACCTCTGCTTAGCAAAACGTTTCAAATGTTTCAGACCACTACTTGCACATTCATGCTGCAGCCAGAATGTAGTTAAATTTCTATAATTCAGCCTGGTCTCTCAATGCAGCTATTATTAATTCTAGAAGCTTAAGTATATCTTTATTACAGTTTCATTACCTTGTACATGTAAGAAAACAGGTATGACCTTCACAGATGATAGAATTCCAATTACTTTAGGACTAAGCATCACAGTTTTAATCAATTAAACCAAGCAAAGTACTAATTACCCTTATTAACACATGTGTAGTCTGACTCCTCTGTAATTATACTTAAAAACACTGATATGCATTATAAGTACCTTAGTGACTTCCTAATTCCCAACTTCAAAGAGGATCACATTTTAATTATTCCTGAGTTTCTAAATATGCACTAGAGCCACACCAATATCCTTGCCAAAAAGTTAAATATAGCCCCCAAATTACTATTTTAGAAAGCCAGAATTCTCTTGCTGGGTTTTAAAGCTATGGCCTAAATAAACAGGGAAGATAATCTATTAAAATTTTTTGAAATTAAATGTTTAATCAGAACTTGACCAGGTAGTGCCTAAAGCACAATGCAGGAGGAATATATTTATTGTCAAATAACTTTCATGTAAAATTAGAGGCTATTATTCTTTTTTTTTTTTTTTTTTTTTTGGTGTGGTACTGGGGATTAAACCCATGGCCTTGTGCATGCAA